CATCAGGTGTAGATGTGCCTCTTCAAATCCTCTCATTTTGTGCAGACTGCAAATGAGAAGAATGCAGACGAAAGGAAGCACAAAGATTGCACAAAGGACTACTTCAAACTCTCTTGCCCTGCCTCACCCCATCATTAATAACTCTGTGCTGCTTCCTCCTCAGGCTTTTCTGTCTGCATCTCTTCAGAACAGAACAGCTTTGCCAACCTGGTGCCCTCCAGCCAGCACAGAGCTGCAAGTCCAAAACACCGAGGACAAAAGCTGCAATAGCAGGCGCTGCTAATAATTCATGGTTCTGCTTGCCAGAGGTGTAAGTGAGTGCTTCAGAACATATATGGAGCAGCCAGGCAACATCTAAAACAGCCTTTGCCAACTTGCTGCCTTCCAGATGTTGTCAGACTACAATGTCCATCAGCCTCAGCCAACAAATGCTGAACTCCTGTAACTTTTTATACCACAAATGTTCACTTTATTTTTTGTCTACTTTTGTTGTGCAAGTGGGCCCCACTCCCAGACAGCAAAAAGGCAATGACATTGTACAGCATCACAGAACACATAAAGTAGGATGGTTATGTGGACAGTCCGGCATCATTCCACCACTAATGCATTGTTATTGTACCAGTAACATGTTGCAGAATACACTCGCCAAAGAAACAAACAAACCCATATCAAAAAAGTCTGAAGGGCCATCTGTTAATTTTGATATATTATGGCATCATAAATACAAACACCTCCTGCAGCGCAGATTATGGGATTTCCCCCTCACCCCCCAATTTCAAACCTGTAAATATCACATGGAGAAATAATAAAGGCAATATTGTACAATTCTGCATCATCTACCTGTCCTGGCCTCCAATGTGCAAGCCTTTTAATACCCACACCGGTGTGGAATATTTTATGGAGTGCTGCTTGATTTCCAAGCAGTAGGTAAGTTAGCATTCTATGAAACGAAACACTTCAGGGCAAATGGAAAAACCACAGCCTCTAGGCAAATGTAAATAAACGATTCAGGTCCCCACTCAACTTGTAATGTTTGGAAGCCACTCAGCAGTGATCTATGGATGCTCCAGGTTGGCAATAAATATATAGAAGACTTGTGGAAAATTACTCATAGATTCTAAATGGAAGGAAATACAGACCTGGTCTTTCTTCTGATAAAATGACCAACCCTGGGAAGATACAGAAATAATAGAAGGGCATTTGACACAAAGCCAATTTGAATGAAGAAGTATTGGCAGCCCCAATGAAATCTGAGGAAATCAGCTTAGCTTCAGATATTGCTCAACGCACAAAGCAGCCTGCTAAGGGGGAAACTGTTTACTCAATGACTTTTCATCTCTCTCAAATCAGACCTAATTTATCCTAATAACTACTAGTCTAATGGGACTTAATGAGGGCAGGGAGATCTCCAAAGAGTGGTTTTCCCCCTCTATTAAATCTGGATGCAGGAAACAAATTGCCATTGTAGAGGGGGTTTTGGTTTCTTCTTTCTGTAGGGAGGATGCAATAAACACTCTTTCTCCTCCTGTGATGGAACTCCTATTTGGGGACTTCCCTGGCTTTTTTCTGGCCCATGTAGGACCAGTCTGGATAGTTAGCCTTGGTGAAGACTTGACGTTTTCATCCCCCAAAAATATTTTTATTTGAGTTTCCATTGAAATGAGACTGCATTTTAATGTTTTAATGTTGTATTTTAATCTTGTTTTTAAAGTTGTATTTCAATCAATTTGTTTTATATCGGTTGGTAGCCACCCTGAGCCCGGTCTTGGCTGGGGGGGGGCAGGGTATAAATAAAATGTATTATTATTATTTATTAATTAATTTATTATTATTATTATTATTATTATTATTATTATTATTATTATGAGGTCTGGCTTGTTTTTATCAGGTAAAATATCTGTATAAACTAGTTTGCATTAAAATTGCCTTCCCTTGATGTGTCCTACCCATTCCTTCAGATGCGATTTAACAGCTGTAGTGTGTAACACTCTTCATCAATAGCAACCTGACAGCAATACTCATGGGTATGGTGGCTTAAAACAATTTTATGAAAGTGGAATATCTGTGGCTATATCCATAGCGAGGTGGGGGGGGGATTATAGGTTATACCTCCATAAGATCATGGGTAGGCATTTGACTCAAGTTGCATGACCTGGAGGCAATTTTGACCATTTGCAGTGGGAGTTAATGTTCAATCCAAATGTTATAAACACGGATGGAGTTCAGATGTGACATTCACTCTCATTTCTATATCTTCATGCCCAACATCACATACAAAGTGAGGATCTATGATGAGATCCATGTACTGTACTTGAGGAGACCACATATTTCGCTGCAGTGTGGTTCATGAACCACAATGCCGTTAGAAGTGGAAGATCTACCGTAACTTCAACATATTAAAATGCATAATCTTTGGTATTTGATCTCAGGATTCTACTGAAGGGAACCATTCACAGCCCTTGTTTCTTATGGTTATTACGTCAGTGAGTGGTGCTCATCATGCAACCACCATGAACAAAAGTTCCCAAGCTGGGTCAGTGTGAACTCTTCTGAGTTAAAAATGGGTAAATATGGCCAGTCTTGTTATGCTAAACAGACATCACAGGGGAAAGAATCATATTACCATATATATATATTTTAGAAAAACATTTTTTGCACTACTACTGGTCAGACTAAATGTGGGGTTCTTTTTGCTAAAAGACATGCAAAATGCCAGAAGAACACTGGCAACATCATGTGGTCCCTCAATCAAAAATTCTAGAACATTCAAGGTATGAGACAATTTCAGGTAGTGCAGATGGGCCCTGTATTCCCAGGCTTAATCCTCCCAAAGTTAGGCCTTTCCACTCTGTCATTTTCCTGCAAGGTATAAAAGCAGCAGCTGGCTACCCCAAAGAATGCCAACCAAATGGAAGCAAGGATGAGAGAGCAAATACCCAGGTATGATTACTATTGCAGTCATTCAGATATACGGAGACCTGAATAATGTTGGTTTAAAGACTTATGGCACACAGTTTCTCCTTTCCACAGTACAAGGTATATACTTATATGATTCACTTTGGTGGAAGAAAAGGATCTCTCCACACAAGAAATGCTAATTATTCAGTTTCAGCCAATACATTACTGCTCATTGTTGAGGGGGAGAGTACCGGTAGATGCTTCATGTGCTTGGATGCTCTCCAGACCACATGATTGGAGGAGAAAGTTCAAAATCACCTCTTTTGTATTGAAAGTGCACTTGCTTTGAAAGAGATCCTATAAGAATCTGACTTGGATTTCATTGGTAAGTCCATACTCCCATTTGCTTCGAGGAGACAGTTCCTGCAATAAGATCTTGTCCCTTTCAGAGAGCAAACTGCCTCAAAAACAAAAGAAAACGGCCATTCTCAGGGACAGCGAAAGCTCATATGTCCCACAGCTAAAATGCAGTCACCTCTGGGCTGGATGGTTTTAACAGCACAGCTGTGCGAGGGAGGAGGGAAAGGAAATTATGATGTGGAGAGCTGTTTGAATTAGGAATCACAGAGGGATTGTACAATGAATGGCACTGCATAATGACTTGCCATGGAACTAGGCAAAGCATCTGTCATTAGGAAAATTATCTTTTAACATCTCCGAAGATCATGTTTATTCATCCCAAAGGTAATACCTTTGTCCATGTGCATTCTCTATTGGCCTCTTATGGAGGCTTATAACTCAAAGACTAGATTGTTGAGTGACAGCATTAAAAAGCAATTTCATCAGAACATGGCTGTTACAGGGTGCTATCAGACAGTGGGTTTTGCAAGTGTCATGCTTGCAGACTGAGTGCCCTACACTAGCAAGCCACATGGGGACTAATCTCTATACTAAGAATTCCTAACACCAGCAGGATTAGTGACATGAGGGAGAACAGCACAGTACAAATTGGTGGTGGCAGCACAGCCCTACTTTATATTTCGCATTCCCTGCGATAACACACTTTTTAGCATTGGATTGGAACAAATGGTAATTTAGGTTCCACAGATAGTCATTTGCTGCAACTGAGCATTAAAGAGTGGGTTTTCATGGGGAAAGTGCTGGGACATGAAAAAGAAAAAGTGCTCAGACACTGCGCTTTAAAATGCAGACCTGCTACTAGAAAGCATGGGGCAAAGGTAAGTGGATGAGCCCCAAGACTAGGTGTCAGGATCATATTTCTCTTCTGTTGAAACAGCTTTGTTGTATCCTGGTTCATTTCCAAACTCAATCAAAGTCCTGATACTTACCTTTAAAGCTCTATAAGGCTTGAGGCCCAGGTATCTTTTGGACTAGCTTCCTCCATACCAATCTATCTACTGAGATGTTTTTTAAGCAGATGGGAGTAATATGTTTTATTCCACTGTGTTTCTTGTACTTTAATGTGACTCCAGGTAACCTGTTTATTGGGCACTCATCCTGATCTTTTGTTGAGGTTAGTGATATTGAACCAAAGCAGGTATTATCACACATTTCCCAGTGCATTTTGCCATTATTTTCCTTATCACAAAATGTCCTATATTTTGGGGAAGCGAATTTGCCGACATGTAATGGAAGCACCCGTAATGCTGTGTGTAACTCGTTGTGTGACAGAACTACTGCTGCCCCGTGGCCATTTGGCTCCAGAGTCTATGAACCTTTTCTGTGTTTACAAACTAAGGATAGCATTTCATGCTTCTGCTCAGTTGGGCTCTAGTCCATGAAAGCTTACAACTGTTCAACTGCTAATCCTGGTCCCAGAAAGAACTCAGATAGAGTGGCAACCACATCAGATGTCTCCGCACTCCTGCTTCCAACTTCCTTTAGCTCAAATTCCGCACTATTACCTTTTTCAAGGAAAGAAATGGAACCATGGATTTAGCCAACCAAGGTACTACAATAAGACATAAGGTGGTATTAGGAACATAGGAAGCTGCCTTATAACAAGTCTGACCATTGGACATCTATCTCAGTATTATCTAGTGGCTCCAGGATTTCAAACACAGTTCTCTCTTAGCCCCACCTGAAGATGCCAGGGATTAAACCTGGGACCTTCTGCAAGCAAAGCAAGTGCTCTATCATTAAGATATGATCCTTCAAAAAAAAAAATTTACGAAATGCTTCCAAGTATTTGTGTCTGTCTGAAAATTACCTCCCAGTTCTAAAATTTCTGGTGCTTTGTACCATATTCTTTTCTCTAGCACCTGCTCAGAAGGCTGGAAGCCTGCCCTAAAGGTTCCTATGAAAACCTTACTGGATTTTTTGGAGGGGGAAATGTGATGCCTCAGTGGTAGAGCATCTGCTTTGCATGCAGGTCCCAGCATCTCATGGTTGGGCTGAGAGAGATTCCCATCTGAAACCATGGAGAACTACTACTAGTCAGTGTAGGCAATGCTTAGTGAAATGGACCATTGGTCTGGCTCAATCCAAAGCAGCTTCCTATGTTCCCATTTCACCCCAACCGCTAAAAATATTCTTGTTTAGACAAGCCTACTCAGATGCTTAGAACGCTGAGGTAATTCTATTCTGTTTTAGTATTTTAGTATGCTTCAGAGGTGTGTTTTTTAACCAATCAAGTGGCGTATAATTTTTTTGAAATAAAAAAATAAATAAAATAAAGTATTGAATAACACTTGTTTCAGAGATCCCATAACAGCTTAAAGGGACAATCCATTAGGACTTACAGTGATTGAAGGTTTGGAAGATCCCACAGAGCTTCTGCAGGGATACGACTGAGCTGATTGTTCTGTAACATCCTATAATTAGAAGGGAAAAAATGACAACTTTAAAAAATAACCCTCAACAAAATGGGGTATACAGAATTCCAACCCCCCCAACAAGATTTCAGAATATAGGTGCTGTTCAAGGCACAAAACCTTCCATTAACAAGGGCACAGGGCTGCTGAATACAGGTCTAGGAATGGCATTCCAAAGCCTATTTGTCCTGAAACCGCAAACTTCATTGCTTGCATGGATTGTGGGACTCTGGCAGAAATGTAAACCTGTCAAGGGCTAATGTTTTCTCAATGTAAAATCTATACAATGTTACCTCGGGTTAAGTACTTAATTCATTCCGGAGGTCCATTCTTAACCTGAAACTGTTCTTGACCTGAAGCACCACTTTAGCTAATGGGGCCTCCTGCTGCCGCCGCGCCACCGGAGCATGATTTCTGTTCTCATCCTGAAGCAAAGTTCTTAACCCGAGGTATTATTTCTGGGTTTGTAGTGTCTGTAACCTGAAGCGTATGTAACCTGAAGCGTCTGTAACCCAAGGTCCCACTGTACAAAGTAGCACCACGATTCCTGTGACTTAGTATATCCAGGTGAACACCTGGAATTAATTGGGAATTAGTTTAGGGGAAAGGCCACTCTGTTCATAATTATTGTTACTTTTTACATAGCACCATCAGTGTGCATGATGCTTCACCAGGTATAAAAGGACACGTATCTGCCCAAGCAACTGACCATTTAAAATCTGACACAGGAAAAGTGATAGAAGAGCATGATGTAAATTGAAACCGGGATAAAGAGGGAAGCAATGAGAGATTGTTTCAGTTCCCTGTGCTTAGGCTTAGTTATAGGTGCGACACAGAACGGCATGGGAACTAGGCGTTATGGAAAAAGTGGCTTCTGAGGAGGGATCTGAAAGAAATAGCATGCAGGTGTCTGGAAGAATATATGCATTCCTTTTGTGGAGAATATAGATACTGTGAAATTTCATCGGAGTTCTGATATTATATTACCACAATGATTTTTATTCTGAAGAGTAATTTTAGGCCTCTTGACATGAGTTTTTGGGACACCTCAGAAAAGTGAGAATGTCTTGCACAGATCTGAGCAGAATCACCCATAATGTTATGCCTAGGGATGGATGCAACTTCAGATTCTGAATATGCACACTTGTTCCGATAAAACCCCAAATAAGGGCACCCAATTTCAAAACTGTTAAAAGTATCACATATGTCATGTGTTCTGCCCATTTCATACTTCTCTACTGCTACAAAAGGTTTCCTTGAGGTATCTGGAGCTGATCTCCACAAACAGGAAAAATCATGTAGTAAAGTCCTTCTGGGACTGTACGCTTCAGGCTTGAAACATGGAATCACATTTTTTATGCAACCCTCACGTTAAACTTTCTGCAGGCAGAAAATTGCACAACAGAGAGAAAGGTTCCAGCCAAAAAATCTCCCTCATGCATGAATGCACCTGGCTTCAGGGGCGTAGGAAGGGGGGCGCAGGGCGCCCTGGGTGTCATCCTGAAGGGGGGGTGACATTTGGCGCAAGCCCCCCCCCCCCCCGCCCGCGACTTCCCCAAGCACAGCGAGCGGCAAAGTTGCAAAACAGCTGCTGCGGCTCTTCCCCCTTCCCCAGCTCACTGTATGTTTCCAGGTCGGGGGGGCGGCCCCCGGGGAGGATTGCGCAGCTGTGCCGAGATCAGCCCCATGGGCAGATCACCCCGCCCCCGGGTGCACAGCATGTGTGCCACTCTGGGTGCCAAAGCACCCAGCTCTGCCACTGCCTGGCTTCACAAGCTCTGATGATCAGCTGATGTTGGGGCATGCACCATGTGCTGAAAAAGATTCCATACTCCTGACTTTAGAAAAGTATTATTATTATTATTATTATTATTATTATTATTATTATATGCACAGAGCTTAGAACTTGGACTGTGCTAGTAAGCCTTTATGGAGATGCATCACAACTCAGTGGAACACCACATACTTGAATGTAGAAGGTTTGAGGTTCAGTGACCAGTATCACCAGGTAATGCTACAACACACCCACAGCCAGTCAACATAGATAGTACTGTGTTAGATTGGCCAATGGTCTGGCTTCCTACAAAGCAGCTTCTTATAGAAATGGTAGAGCACAGAAGGTACCGTCTTCCACCCACCTCTTTCTTTATTGCACTGGCTTAGCATGTTATGAACAGCCAGGGATAAATGACAGACGTCACAGTCAAAAGGAGTAGTAAAGCTGCACTGTGTGGGGCCAGGCAGCTCATTTCTCTTTTTGGAACAATGGTTCTAATCACAGGGCTCAGTGGACATGCTGCAGTTTACACTGGGAGTAGCCTGCCAGCCCCACAGCTTTCAGTAAACATCTCTGACTAATGATAGTAATTTGCATTTACCCAAGTAAACACTAGAAGCACAACGTGGACAGTGCAGGTCCCTAGGGTGCTGTGTTTTCTTTCTTCAGTACAAAACAGCAGAGGACAAAAGGTGATTCCCAAGAAAAATACTCATCGTCATATTAAAGAACACCCAAATGAAGACAAACAATCAAAGATAGTTTCACAGATCTAGTATATATGAAATGTAAGAAGAACCCGACTGGATCAACTTGCTATAACTATGCCTTTTAAATATATTGAACAGTGATACAGAATTATATATAAATAGCAAAGTTGCTGAATGTGATCCAGATAATAAACACATGGAAGCAAAATATTATAAATTAAACTAATTCAAGAAAACTCTTTAACAAGCTCATTGACAGGTTAACAGGTTGCTTTATTCATGAGTGATCATGGGGGAAATGGAGATGGGAGGCACCAGCTGGGGAACCTCCAAGGGAACCCCCAAGGGGCTCAGAGCCAGACGATTGGTGGCAGAACAATGATGAGTGGTCAGAGGGAGCAGACTGGAAGGAGGAGGTGTTGGAAACTGAAGACGTAACATGATTTAGTGAGCAGGGAGAGTCTGTGGCAGAGAGCAGTCCAGCACCAGAGGCAGAAGAGGAGGCTGGGGAGATGGGGGGCCAAGAGGCAACAATGAGTGAGGTTGGTGATGAAGCCAGGCAGTCTCCTTCTTCTGCTGCAACCAGCTCTCCTCCAGCCTGGTCTCCCAGAACCAGAAGAGGTATGAAGAGGGCAGAGTAAAGACAGGCAAACTGAAGGAGCCTCAGATTGCTTGGGAAGGAGCTGGGGAGGAGACGACTTAGGGAGCTGGGCGAAGGCAGAGACCTTCAGTCCTCACAACTACCATATTGGGGCAAGTTCTACTGAGAAGAGCTGCTGTGCTCATTTGGCCTGGCCTCCTAAGCTGTTTTTTAAAAAATAAATATTATTTTATTATTATTATTTATTCATCAAAAGATCTCAGCGTGGTTCACCAGAGAGTTAACTCAGCTGACACGGTGTGAATGATTGCTGACCTGCTACTGACCACTCACCTTGATAGCTGTTCAGGAAACCCTGGGACTGCTGAAACCTCTATCTTGTGGGTAAGTGGTGCCATTTTCACTACATAAGCACCAACACTCACACCTGAACATGAAAACAGGAGGAAGCAAGTAGGATCTGCAACAAAACACTGCTATGTGGTGCACTCCCTGTTCTTGATTCCTGCAACTCCATTGCCAGCTGTATGCAGGTATGGTTCATATTCACGTGCATATGATAGCAAGGTTTCCAGTGGGACTCTGGTGGGTGTGGGTGTGTGCACGCTTGTATGCACATTTGTATGTGTAATAGAGGCAGGGCAGGGCTCTGGGGCTGATCCACTTCTCCCTGGAGAATGTCTCTGTATGTTTATTTGCTCCCTTTGGTTTTAATGATTGAGCAAGATGAAAGGGAGAAAGGTATAGATCAAGGGCTGCTTGCCCGCCACTCCGGGGAGGGATTTAAAGAGACAGCATCGATTCATGTGTTTCCCCATGCCTTCTGGGGAAAGCCATTCATTTAATCATAGGAATGCTTTCCCACACAGCCCCACATCTGAAGCAGCCTCTCCTGCCTAATTGACTGACACTCCGTGAAGCCTATCTCAATGACTCCTTGCATGTAACAAAAACATTCTCACCCAAAGCTTGGAGTTGCTATTCTGCCTGAACTGTTCTTCTTCTCCGCACCCTCCCACAGAACAGCATGTTGTGCATATACAATTACAATTCTTCTTGTGCAACACATTTTAACTAATCAGTTGGGGGAGGTGTTTGTTGTTTTCTTGCTAAAGTTTCCTCTCCTCCACCTCACAGATTCTCTATGCCTGAAAGCTCTTGCATGAAAAATTACTACAGAACTAGGTTCAAAAACCTGGGTTTGTTCACATGACCAAGTTGGCATGTTGGAAATGTAGGGATGAAAGGATC